CGTCGCAGACCACTCAGACGGACGCCCACCCGCTCCTGAGGCCCGGCCGCCAGCGCCGGAGGGTCATGTCGAAGGACGGGCACAGCAACGTGAGGATTGACCATGTCCATCACTGGCGTTTCCTGTACCTGAAGGACCTGTGGACCACCTTCATCGACCTCAAGTGGCGCTACAAGCTGGCGCTGTTCTCCGCCACCTTCGCCGGCACCTGGTTCCTGTTTGGCCTAGCCTGGTACCTGGTGGCCCTGCTGCATGGTGACCTCCTGGTGCCCCTGCCACCCTCCGCCAACCACACCCTGTGCGTGGCCAACATGCAGACCCTCACCGCTGCCTTCCTCTTCTCCCTCGAGTCGCAGACCACCATAGGCTACGGGTACCGCTACATCTCCGAGGAGTGCCCCCTGGCCATTGTCCTGCTCATCGGGCAGCTCATCGTCACCAGCCTGCTGGAGGTCTTCGTCACCGGCACATTCCTGGCCAAGATCGCCCGGCCCAAGAAGCGAGCGGGCACCGTCCGCTTCAGCCAGAATGCGGTGGTCTCCTCCCGGGATGGAAAGCTGTGCCTTATGATTCGGGTGGCCAACATGCGTACCAGCCTGCTGCTGGGGTGTCAAGTGGTGGGCAAGCTCCTGAGGGCCCAGTTGGCGGCCGAGGGCGAGAGTTTCCGCCTGCAGCAGGTCAACGTGGAGTTCCATGTGGATGCGGGCTCCGACAGCCCCTTCCTCATCCTGCCCCTCACCTTCTACCACCTCATTGACGATGCCAGCCCCCTCAGGCGGGTGGCGCTGGCCCCAGGCAGGGACCAGGACTTCGAGCTGGTCGTCATCCTGAGCGGTACCGTGGAGAGCACCAGCGCCCTCTGCCAGGTGCGCACCTCCTACCTGCCCGATGAGATCCTCTGGGGTTACGAGTTCTGCCCCGTCATCTCCCTCTCCCCCGGAGGCAAGTACGTGGCCGATTTCGCCACCTTCGACCGTGTCGCCAAGGTGCCCGGCCTGGAGACCCCTTGGCCTGGAGGCGGCGCCGACCCGGAGAAGGGCAGGCTGGAGGAGAGCCTGAAGGCCCCCCACTCTGGGAAAGCCGCCAGCCCCCGCAACATGAAGATCAGCAACGTGTGACCGAGAGAGAGGGGGGGTTGCGACGAGGGGCTGGGGGAAGGGCGTTGGGTAGGGGAAGGAGGTGGTTGGTATGATCTGGGGAGCAGGGGGGAGGCAGTGGGCGCACGGGAGAATCCGCCACTAGCCTCGGTCACCTCAGGCCCTCGGAACGCCTCCTTCGGAGGGAGTGGAGGAGGGAATTGAGCGACTCCCTTTGGGGATTGTCCTCCCCTGCCCTTCTCAATATCTCCTGCCCCCTTTAGGCCAGGACTCTCAAGCATTGAGTCCAGCCTGGGTGCCAACATTAAGGAAGGATGTGCGAGTCTTTGAGGTGGTGCGGAGGGAGATTTCTCAGGATGGTTCCTTCAGAGAAGGGGCACAGGACGGATCAAAACTCTCCTATTTCCCCCGCCCCACCTCCCGCAGGTGGGCCGAATGGCCTGATCCTTACGAGTCTGCCGTCTCACGCTTTGCAGATTACCCTTCGCAAATCTGTGACGTTCCCTTTCTCATCTCAAGTCAGACAACCTGCTTGGGGAGTGCCGAGTTGGGGGCAGCAAAATCCCGGGATAAGCGCTGGGATTGGGATGGAGCGGCCAAAAGTCTCGCTTGTCCCGAAAAGTGAAAGAAGAATCCCGCGGAGAGTCTGGGGTCAGGAAGTGGCGTGGTGTCAACTCTCGGAAAGTGCTGCCCCGTTCGCCCTCGGCGCTTAAAGGAAGACACTCGCCTGTCAACCTCGTGCTAGCCCCTCTGAAAGAGACAGCCAATTCTCCCGGACAGGAGCGGGCTCACTCCACGCCATTTCAAATACAGTTGTGTGCTCGGGTTTGTATCTCCCTAGGGATCAAGCTTCAGTATTCCCAAAGTTGTAAAATAACCCAACTCTTATCTGAGTCAGTTCACGAAAATATGCTCACCAGATTTTATCACAGAGACGTAAAGCACGGAAACAGACCCTTCGGTCCAACTCGTCCGTGCCAACCCAATATCCTAAATTAATCTGGTCCCATTTGCCAGCATTTGGCCCATTATCTCTCTAAACCCTTCCTGTTCATGTACCCATCCAGATGCCTTTTAAATGCTGTAACTGTACCAGCCTCCACCACTTCCTCTGGCAGCTCGTTCCACACACGTACCACCCTCTGCGTGAAAAAGCTACCCCTTAGGTCCCTTTTAAATCTTTAGATACTTGAAACTAAACAGCAGAGGCAGTCATCTGTGAAGGGTCACTGATCAAATGAAGAGTCACAATTTATTGCAATCAAGAAAGAAGCAACAATTGCTAACTTGTAACTCTATAACTTAAACTGCACCCCCTTTTTGAAACAAATCCCACAAACACATAGAAACAGGACACACAAAGAGACAAGGGTTAGTATTGCAGGTGGGGAAGGAACAACAGGTTTTTGAGTAGATTTTGTAGCTCTGGTTGTGGATGTTGAGGTTGGTTGGCTCACCGAGCTGGTTCGTTGTTCTGCAGACGTTTCGTTCCCATGCTGGATAACATCATCAGTGCAGCCTCCGATGTTGTGTTTTCCCCCCTGGTTTTTAAACTCTGGGCTCCGTTGGATTTGATTACCTCATTTCCAGTTTTCCTTCGCAGTGGTGTATATATCGCGTCTAATTCTACGTGTTTATTGATGGCTTTCTTGGGAGAGAACCAAGCCTCTTGGAATTGCTGTGTGTGTGTGTGTGTGTGTGTGTGTGTGTGTGTGTGTGTGTGTGT